ATCATCAGATTCACCCGAGGTTGAAATGAAGGGAAAATGTCCTTCATTTCAGAGAGAAAGGTCGGGTTACCCACAAAGGGAAGCCCATCAGACTAACAGCAGATTATCTCTGCAGAAACCCTACAGGCCAGAAGAGAGTGGAGACCAATATTCAACATTCTTTTTTTTTTTTTTTGAGACAGAGTCTCACCCTGTCACCCAGGCTGGAGTGCATTGGCGTGCTCTCTGCTCACTGCAACCTCCGCCTCCTGACTTCAGGTGATTCTCCTGCCTCAGCCTCCCAGGTCGTTGGGACTACAGGCTCGTGCCACCATACCTGGCCATTTTTTTGTGTTTTTAGTAGAGATGGGGTTTCACTGTGTTAGCCAGGATGACGTCGATCTGCTGACCTGGTGATCCACCTGCCTTGGCCTCCCAAAGTGCTGGGATTACAGGCGTGAGCCTCCATGCCCCGCCTCAACATTCTTAAACAAAAAAATTTTCAACCCAGAATTTCATATTCAGCCAAACTAAGCTTCATAAGCGAAGAAGCAATAAAATCCTTTACAGACAAGCAAATGCTGAGGGATTTTGTCACCACCAGGCCTGCCTTACAAGAGCCACTGAAGGGAGGATGACACGCCCTCCATCAGCCACAGCTGGGTCCACGGCAGGAATGGGTCAGGCCACAGGCGGCACTCCCCGCCGCTGCGCGCGGTACAGGAGTCCGCAAGTGGAGGGACTTCATGCCCCTCTGGCACCGCCGCTGCTGCTCATCATGAGGTCCTGCTGGGGCATCGGCTTGGAAGAGCTTTACGACTTCCCCAGGGTCCTCGCTGAGTGGACGCTCCTAGTCCTGGGGGAACGGTCAGCGGAAGTTGGGGACGGGCTGGCCTTCAACGCCGGACGCACGGAGGAGGTAGGTGCTGGCCTCCGTGCTCTCGCACCCCAACTTCCAGAGAACCGCCAGCAGCGCGTTCTCCCTGCGGCGAGGAGCTGTAGCAGCCACCAAGGGAGACAGTCGCCGCCGCTGCATCCTGGTAGCAACTGCCGGGAGGAGGGGAGGCCGCCTCCCGCTCTAGGGCCCCTCTGGAAAAAAAAAAAAGCAGGCCCTCCAGCCCCCGTGGACTGAAGCCCCCACCTCTCCAGTGTGGCCAGGACGTCTGAGCTACAGGTGTCCGGGCTGCCTGCTCTGGAGGCCCCTGTGTGTGGCCAGCTTCATCCCTTAGTCCCAGGCGGTCACCAGACCAACGTCCATGCAGATATTCAGCTGGCCCTTTGTGGCAGTCCCCACACCAGCAGAGGAGGATGCATTCAAAACCGCAGGAGTAGCACATGCATGTGCTGTGTGCACCTGCCCAGTGATGTCCAGTGGGGCCGGCTGCTCCCAGCTGGGATGGAAGCTCCCAGGAAGACAGCGATTTCTGTCTGCTCTGTTGAGTGAATTATGCTAAGTGCCTGAAAATTGACTGCACACAGGAAAGAAAAGAAAAGAAAGAAAAGAGAGAAAGGGAGGGAGAAGACTGACATCTTTCGTGAATATAGATGCAAAATCAGAAAGAAGGAAGGAAAGAAAGAGACTAACATCTCTCATGAATATAGATGCAAAATCCTCAACAAAATATTAGCAATGAAAGGAAGGAAGGAAGGCAAGCTACAGACTAATATCTCTCATAAATATAGATGCAAAATCAGAAAGAAAGGAATGAAAGAAAGAAAGAGAAAGAAACTAACATCTCTCATAAATACAGATGAAAAATCCTAAAGAAAGAAAGACTACAGACTAACATCTTTCATGGACATAGATGCAAAATCCTCAACAAAATATTAGCAAAGAAAGGAAAGAAAGAAAGAAAAGAAAGGAAAGCTACAGACTAACATCTCTCCTGAATATAGATGCAAAATCCTCAACAAAATATTAGCAATTGAAATTCAACAATGTATAAAAAGAGGTATACCATGACCCAGTGAGATTTATTCCAGATATGTAGCACTGGTCTGGTCCAATACTTGAAAATCAAGCAATCCATCACATCTACAGGCTAAAGAAGAAAAATCACATGATCATGTCAATAGATGCAGAAAAAACACGTGACAAAATCCAACATCCATTCAAGGTGAAAACTCCCAGCAAACTAGAAAAAGAGAGGAACTTCCTCAACTTCATAAAGAAATTCTATAAAAATCCCCACAGCTAACATTTTACATGGAATGGTGAGGAACTGGACACTTTCTCAGTAAGATCAGGGACAAAGCAAGGATGTCCTCTCTCGTCACTGCTTTTCAGCATCATACTGGAAGTCCTAGCTAATGCAATAATACAAGAAAAAAGAATAAAATGTATAAGGATTTTCTATATAGATGACCATGTCATCGGCAAAGTTGTAGAAAATCTATGTAGAAAATCCGAAAGAACCAACAACATACTACTGAAACATAAGCAATTATAGCAAAGTTGTACGCTACAGGGTTAATACACAAAAACCAATCACTTTTCTATATATCAACAATGAACAAGCGGAATTTGAAATTCCAAACACAATACCATTTATATTAACACCCTCAATATAAAATACTTAGGTATAAATCTTTAAAAATGTGTATAAGCTCTGTGTGAGGAAAGCTACAAACCTATTATGAAAGAAATCAAAGAACTAAATAAATGGGGAGAGATTCCATGTTTAAGAGCAAGAAGACTCAATATTGTCAAGATGTCAGTTCTTCCCAACTTGATCTATAGACTAAATGCTATCCTCATCGAAATTCCAGCAAGTTACTTTGTAGATATTGATAAACTGATTCTAAAGTTTATGTGGAGAAGCAAAAGACCCAAAATAGCCAACATAATGTTGAAGGAGAAGAACAAAGTTGGAGGACTGACACTACCCAACCTCAAGGCTTACTGTAAAGCTACACTAACCAAGACAGTGTGGTATTGGCAAAAGAATAGACAAACAGACCAATGGAACACAATAGGCCAGAAATATACCCACAGAAATATAGTCGACTAATTTTTTACAAAGGAGCACAGGAAATACAATGGAGAAAATAAATTATTTTCAATGAATGGTGCTGGAACAACTGGACATCCAAATGGAAAAAAAAAAAAATTAGATACAGACCTTACACCCTTAGGAAAAATTAACTCAAGGCTGGGCACAGTGGCTTACGCCTGTGGTCTCGGCACTTTGGGAGGCCGGGGCGGGTGGAGGTCAGGAGTTTTAGACCAGCCTGGCCAGCATGGCGAAGCCCCATCTCTACTGAGGATGCAGGGATTGGCTGGGCATGGTGGTGGATGCCTATGGTCCCAGCTGCTCGGGAGGTTGAAGGGGGGAGAGTTGCTTGAACCTGGGGTTGGGAGGGCAGGTGGGGGTTGTGGTGGGTTGGGATCACACCACTTCACTCCAGCCTGAGAGACAGCAAAACTCCATCTCAAAAAGAAAGAAATGAGCTATCAAGTCATTTTAGGACATGTAGGAATCTTAAATGCATATTACTAAGTGAAAGAAACTAATCTTTAAACGCTAAATATTGTATGATCCCAACTGTATGACATAAAAAAAAAAAAAAGAGCTACTGAAGGAAGAACTAAATATAGAAGGAAAAAGTGGTACCAGCCACTGCAAAAACATACAAAATTGCAAAGACAATTGATGCTATGAAGAAACTGCATTGACTAACAGGCAAAATAATCAGCTAGGATCATAATGACAGAATCAAATTCACACATAACAATATTAACCTTAAATGTAAATGGGCTAAATGTCCCAATTAAAAGACACAGACTGGCAAATTGGGTAAAGAGCAAAAAAAAACTATCATCATAGTGAAAAGGCAACCTATAGAGTGGGAGAAATTTTTTGCAATCTATCCATCTGACAAACGGCTAGTATCCAGAATCTACAAAGAACTTAAACAAATTTATAAGAAAAAAACAAACAACCCCATCAAAAAGTGGGCAAAAGATATGAACAGACACTTCTTAGAAGAATACATTTATGTAGCCAACAAACACATGAAAAAATGCTCATCATCACTGGTCATTAGAGAAATGCAATCAAAACCACAGTGAGATACCATCCCACTCCAGTTAGAATGGTGATCATTAAAAAGTCAGGAAACAACAGATGCTGGAGAGGATGTGGAGAAATAGGAATGCTTTTAGACTGTTGGTGGCAGTGTATATTAGTTAAATGATTGTGGAAGACAGTGTGGTGATTCCTCAAGGACCTAGAACCAGAAATGCCATTTAAGCCAGCAATCCCATGATTGGGTATACACCCAAAGGATTATAAATCATTCTACTATAAAGACACATGCACATGTATGTTTATTGCAGCACTGTTCACAATTACAAAGACTTAGAACCAAACCAAATGTCCATCATTGATAGACTGGATAAAGAAAATGTGGCACATATACACCATGGAATACTATGCAGCCATAAAAAAGGATGAGTTCATGTCCTTTGCAGGGACATGGATGAAGCTGGAAACCATCATTCTCAGTAAACTAACACAAGAACAGAAAACTAAACACCACATGTTCTCATTCATAAGTAAGAGTTGAACAGTGATAACACATGGACATAAGGAGAAGAACATCACACACCAGGGCCTGTGGGGGGGGGGGGGTGGGTGGGAAGGGATAGCATTTGGAGAAATACCTAATGTAGACGACAGGCTGATGGATGCAGCAAACCACCATGGCACGTGTACACCTATATAACAAACCTGCACATTCTGCACATGTATTTCAGAACTTAAAGTATATTTTTAAAAATACTATAAATAATAATTCAGTTTAGTAAAATTGCAGGTAAAAGATAAACACACAAAATTTTATTTTATAGTCTAATTCCAGCAAGAAAAATTAAAATTTAAATAAAAAAATATATTTTCAACAGTTTAGACAACTACTTTTAAGTATTGAAAACCTCACCTTTGGGTGAGAAGATATTTCCAAAATTTAACCATCTGGATGAAATTATTTTTAAAATTTGCATCGGATTTTACCTTTTCATGCACAAGAGTAAAGTATACACACCCAGAAAGCAACTCTGCCAAGGGAAAATGATATTGGAATTATAAAATATTATTGGGGAAAACCTAATGAGCTATTTCTGAGATAACACAAATATTATATCACAGAGTATATATGAGCTCATTAATGTATATTAATAATCTAACAGGGTCTTTTTTTTTTTTTTAAACCAAATAAGTTGTCAAAAGCTTGTGAAACTCACAGGGAGAGCAAAGGAAAGCACCGTTTCAAAAAGTCAGAAATTTAGAAATGAAATATAGAGGAAGATAGGCTCCTGTCGTGAAGGTCCCTAAGAGAAATCAAGGGATATAAAATACCAACAGACATCTAGAGCCTGAAACCTAGAATAAAGCTATGAAAAACAAAATTTAAATTTATAAAATAATTCAAAGGATAAAACTACCAATTATTTCACATGCCATATACTATTAAGCCTGGAACATAATACTAAGCACTGAAGGAAAGTTTTTTATGGAATAAATGAATGAATCTACTTTCGGTCTGTCCGAGCAGCCCTAGTCTGCTACTCAACGTGGAGCGATGGCCTTGAGAAGAAGAAGCGCGAAGGAGGCTCAGCCACCAACTACATCGCCCGGAAGAAAGCTCAGAAGCTCCAGCTGAGCCTGGCTGACTTTAGGCGGCTGTGCATTCTGAAGGGCATTTATCCCCATGAACCCAAACACAAGAAGAAGGTTAACAAGGATTCTACAGCGCCCGAACTTTTTACCTTATCAAAGACATCAGGTTTCTCCTCCATGAACCCATCGTCAACAAGTTCCGGGAATACAAGGTGTTCGTCCAGAAGCTCCGGGAGGCCCATGAGAATAGCGAGTGGAACACCGCAGAGCATCTAAAGGACAATAAAGCTGGGTGCGGTGGCTCACGCCTGTAATCCCAGCACTTTAGGAGTCTGAGGTGGGCAGATCACCTGAGGTCAGGAGTTCGAGACCAGCCTGACCAATATGGTGAAACCCCATCTTTAAAAAAAAAAAAAAATGGACAATAAGCCCACTACGAACTTGACCACATCATCAAGGAATGGTACCCCACATTCACTGATGCCCTGCAGGACCTGGACGACGTCCTCTCCATGTGCTTCCTCTTTTCCACCTCCCCAAGGACCGGCAAGTGTCGCGTGCAGATCATTCGGCGGTGCTGCCGGCTCACCGTGGAGTTCATGCACACATCATTGCCACCCATACCCTGCACAAGGTCTCCCTGTCCATCAAAGGCATTTACTACCAGGCCGAGGATCACTCCCTATGCCTTCTCCCGTGACCACCCGACAGACGGACTGCAGTCATGGCCATCTTCACCGAGTTCTACACCACCCTGCTGGGCTTCCTCAACTTCCGCCTCTACCAGTCGCTCAACCTCCACTACCCCCCAAAGCTCGAGGGACAGGCCCAAGCAGAGGCGAAGGCCAGGGAGGGCACCTACGCGCTGGACTCCGAGAGCTCTGTGGAGAAACTGGCGGCCCTCAGTGCCAGCCTGGCCGGCGTGGTGCCAGCCGTAGAAGAGGAAGCCGAGGTGGATGAGTTTCCCGCCGATGGGGAGATGTCGGCGCAGGAAGGAGCTGGAGGCGCAGGAGAAGCACAAGAAGCTTCCTGAGGGCCTGAAGTGCTTCCTGAACCCTGAGGTGCCCCGCGAGGCCCTGGCCTTCGTCATCAGGAGTTCTGGGGCAGGGAGTGTCCTGGGACACGTCTTTGTGCATCGGGGCCCCCTACGACGTCACGGACTCCGCATCACTCACCAGACTGTTGACCGGCCTGGGCAGCAGACCTCCGTCATAGGCAGGTGCTAGTACAGCCCCAGTGGGTGTTTGACTCAGTGAGCCCTAGGCTTCTCCTCCCCGGGGCAGACTACTTCCCTGGGGTGCAGCTGCCCCCACTCCTTTCACCCTTTGTGACTGACAAGGAAGGAGCGTAAGGCCAGTTGCCTCGCCGGGAGCTCGGACACGCCCAACCCTCTCCGCGCCTGAAAACTGCGTCATCATTCCACGCTCATTACTCAGCATCCAGCTTCGCCACATAGTCTGCCCCACACCCGCCTCTGCACACCACACCGAAGTCTACGCTCAACACCAAACTATGCACTCAGCAACACCCACGCCCCCCCCCAAAACCCCGCCAAAACTTGTCCAATAGCAGTCTGCCCTGCAGGCCCCCGGCCGGCCCACTTACCAGTAGTCCCACCCACCTACCAATAGCAGTCCGCCCCATCCACGTCCTGTTTCCCTATAACCAATGAAATTGCCTTCACTTTGTTTCCCTATAACCAATGAAATCGCCTCCACTCTCTATAAAAGCCCACGCCCAGGGAAGCCGGGCGCGAATTCTCTGGCCCCTTTCCCCCACCATGGAACCTCACCCAGGAGCTGAATAAATTTGCTTCTCATTTTCTTATACTGGCCTCAGTTTCCTCATTTTAGCTTGGCAATAAACCTTACAAGGAGATTACGTCGCACCTGAGAAGCTGAAGCTGCTGGCTCTGCAGCGGGGAGAGGACCCAGGAAACCTGACTGAGTCGGAAGAAGAGGAGGAAGAGGATGACAACGAAGGTGATGGTGATGGAGCGGGAGAAAATGAGGAGGAAGAGGAGGAGGAGGCCCGGCTGGCAGCCCTGGAGGAGCAGAGGATGGAGGGGAAGCCAGGGTGATGGCAGGCACCTTGAAGCTGGAGGATAAGCAGCGACTGGCCCAGGAGGAAGAGAGCGAGGCCAAGCGCTTGGCCATCATGATGATGAAGAAGCGGGAGAAGTACCTGTACCAGAAGGTCATGTTTGGCAAGTGGTGAAAAATCCGAGAGGCCAACAAGCTGGCGGAGAAGCGGAGAGCCCACGATGAGGGGTGGAGTCTGAGAAGGCCAAGAAGGCAAGGCCGGAGTGAGTGCTGGCGGCCCCTCAGGGCTGAGGCCAGCTCCTAGCAGCTGAACATGGCAGAGGCAGGCCACGGGAACTAAGTGTGATGGACGAGAGTCATTTCTCTTCTTTCTCCAGCCAGCCCTGATCCTTCATGCTCTCTAGCTGGGCCAATGGGCAGCCCTGGCCCTTCCTTGGATGGAGCTGCCCTGCTGGTGCCTGAGCAGAGAAGAGGCCTCTGTGCCCAGCCTGATTCTGTGCTCCCAGGAGCCAGTGACATGAGGTGCAGGGGCCCACCCAGCCCCTTACCTGCTGCCCCTATTCACCCTGGCTTTCCACAGCTCTCTCCCGCACAGTTGGGCCCCTGATTCTCAGGGTGCTGTGATGGGGTGAGGATAGGGGGAGCATTTGTTATTAAATGACTGGACCCCTATTCACCCTGGCTTTCCACAGCCCTCTCACGCACAGCTGGACCCCTGATTCTCAGGGTGCTGTGATGGGGTGAGGATAGGGGGAGCATTTGTTATTAAATGACTGGACTTTTGTGCCAATTGCAAAAAAAAAAAAAAAAGAATCTACTTTAGTTTTAGAATATTTTGTTCAAACGGTATTTTATACACCTCCACTCATTTGACTCTTGCTCTAAAATAATGTCTGGGTTACCATGGAGACAATTTTTTTATTTAAAGCATTACTCCATTCTTTCTTAGTTAATGCAGCTTAGGTCAGGCATGCTAGAAACTGTGATAAGTGCAAGGAATAAAATAAGTATGATCCCTGCCCTCAAAGAATTTACTATCTTGTTTGAAGACTAGACAATTACAAAGGATGTTATGAGATTTACACAAGGAATGATATTATGAGTATATATTTAAAAAGAACCTATTAACTCTGTTCTTGGTACTCTAATTGAAGGTTCAAAACAAATTCCAGTTCAATAATGTCAGATAATCCTATTTTAAATACTTACATAAATAAATGATACAGAAAAAAAAAAAACCTGTAAGTATTTAAGCAGAGGATAGTATTATATTATAAATTACCCTCAGAGACCACCACCCCCCTCTCAAATGGTGGTTTCATTGCATTTTCAAAAGTGTCTTCTAAACCATGTTTTTTGTTTGTTTGTTTTTTGGCTTTAGCAACTGAATCATTTCACGGTCCAAGTGGCACACAATAAAAGTTCAATTTTCAATGCACTTTAAATCCAAGAATTTAAAGTTAAAAGAACAAAAAAGCAGGATATAAAAGTAGACTATTTAAAAATAGGTCCAGTAAATAGTGACGGAATTAGAATGACTGAAGTCGGGGGGAAGTACAGACTGATCAGATTACAGAGACTGCTTAGGACAAGAGAATGTTTCCTTTAGTATTAAAAATAGAAACAGGATATGAGGCAGGAGTGGAGTCCAGTTGTAGTGATCAGGCAAAAACGTAGGACAAGATGGCAAACCTCTTAGTTCATCAAAATGCTAATGCTGTTCTTGTACGAGAATACAGGATTGCAAACGTGAGTTTGTGTTTTCAATGATGGCCAACATGAAAGAATATTCAGGAGAGAAAACGGGCATTGCAGAAGTCTTTTTACTTCTTCCAAATCATAGTCTGGAAAGTATGTATCAAACTTGTAAAAAATTAGACCTTTAAAAATTAAGTCACTTTAAAAATCAGGTATTAGGGGTGGGCATGGTGGCTTACGCCTGTAATCCCAGCACTTTGGGAGGCCAAGGTGGGCAGATCATGTGAGGTCAGGAGTTTGAGACCAGCCTGGCCAACACAGTGGACCCGTCTCTACTAAAAATGCAAAAATTAGCCGGGCGTGGTGGCGCATGCCTATAAATCCCAGCTACTCAGAAGGCTGAGGCAGGAGAATCAGTTGAACACAGAAGGCGTAGGTTGCAGTGAGCCAAGATCACACCATTACATTCCAGCCTCTGCGACAGAGCGAGACTCAGAGAAAAAAAATATATATCAGGTATTGAACATGAGAAAAGAAAATATAGATTCACGAGCAAAGAAGCAGCACAAATACCAAATTCTAACATATAAAAGAACCAAATAAAGGAAGCTAAGGCCTTTGCAGAAGTCAAGCCAATCCTGTCTAACAATCGCAGAGGACCCATTGTTTACCCAGGGGATGTTCTGTGCATTTTCAAGCACATGGCCTCCTTTCGTCCTGCCAGTCACTCTGTAAAATCATTAATAATTTCTGCATCTTGCAGATAAGAATGCCAAGGTTTAAATAAGTTCAATGCTTTTCTCAACACTGTGTTATGTAGAAGAACAAGGACTGAAACAGTGACACTTTGACTCCATGCCTATTTTCCTTTCCATTTAAACATAATCTATGTTACGGTTAGAAAACGCTTTTATGGCCGGGCGCGGTGGCTCAAGCCTGTAATCCCAGCACTTTGGGAGGCCGAGGCGGGTGGATCACAAGGTCAAAAGATCGAGACCATCCTGGTCAACATGGTGAAACCCCGTCTCTACTAAAAATACAAAAAATTAGCTGGGCATGGTGGTGCGTGTCTGTAATCCCAGCTACTCAGGAGGCTGAGGCAGGAGAATTGCCTGGACCCAGGAGGCGGAGGTTGCGGTGAGCCGAGATCGCGCCATTGCACTCCAGCCTGGGTAACATGAGTGAAACTCCGTCTCAAAAAAAAAAAGAAAACCCTTTTATGTAAAGATCCCAGAAAACTTTAAGGCAAAGGAAAGCAAACTGCACAATGAATTCTCATCATGAAGAACACAATCTCAGAGACGAGAAATTTTCATTTAGGTTGAAGAAGTTGGAAAAAAGAAAAAATGTAAACTCTAAGAAAAACTTGAATCCATAATAAAAGTACCAGTACAAATGGTCAAAGATAACTTGGTGGGCTTCAGAAATATTTTTATCTTTTCTTTATTGTCAGCATTCCAAGTATAAGAACATTACCACTTATTTACAATATAGAATCTTTTCCCTTATTCTCTATAGAAAAGAAAGGAGTAATAAGTCAGATAACAACCAAACTTGTTCTTTCTACTGAATTCCAAAAGTAGTATGTGAGATTTAGGTTCATCCTTGTTAAGTTTCTTTAAAGTTTGTCAGCACAGTATGAGTGTTTGCATAAATGGATTTTTTTAAGGAAGAGTGTAACATGCTTCCCTTTTTTAAAAGCAGCTGCTTGCAAAACCCAGAAACAGCACATTCAGTTACTTGCTGAAAACCTCAGCCTTTTACATCCACAATAAAAATTGAGTACAAAATGTACAAAGCATAGATTTTCCCCATGTGCTTATTATTAAATCCTTAAGTCAAAAATATTTAAGAAGTCATTAATAGGCATAGATGCTAAGAAACAAGTGAACAAGATAAATATGCAGAGTTATTTATAGTAGTGAAAATTTTGAAATAACTGTGTATTCAATAAGATAAATTTTTCGATAAAATTTAGGACATCAATTCAGTAGACTATTATGCAGCTATTAAAGATACTAATGTCACTATGTGCTGACATAGAAAATCAGTATTATTTTATAAGTTGGAAAGAAGGTTACAGAACATTAAAATATATGATCACATTTTACAAATACCTACATATGTTTATATTTTACATATATCTATGCATATATTAAAAGGTCTGAAATGATAAAAATTGAATCATACTTTACCTATTTCTGACTGACCTGTACTATATATTTTATTTTATATTAAAAGTAAAGAAATAACTTTTTAAAACAGCATATGGCTCCCTATGTATGATTTATCAGGGGAATACAGTTGCATTTGAAATACAGAAAGATAACTCAGGAGAACAAAAAACAAAATGAAAAACAAAGTGTGTATCCCAAGTGGATATGAAATCTCCTGATATCCAAAGTTAATCTTCAGTTTAGCTGGGCACAGTGGCTCATCATAATCCTTGCATTTTGGGAGGCCAAGGCAGGAGGATTACTGAGGCCAGAAGTTTGAGATCAGCCGGGTCAATACAGGGAGATCCCATCTTTACAAAAAACAATAAATTTTTTTTAAAAGCCAGGTGTGGTGCTGTGCTCCTGTAGTCCTCGCTATTTAGGCAGCTGAGATGGGAGGATTGCTTGAACCCAGGAGTTCAAGGCTGCAGTGAATCATAATTGTGCCACTGCACTCCAACCTGAGTGACAGAGCAAGACCCTGTCTCCAAAAAAAAAAAAACCCACAAACAACAACAATAAAAATCTTCAGCTTAATAATAAATTATCTATAATTTGAGTCCTTATCCTGTGGTCCTGCAGAGAATTCAGTCCTTATGCCTAAAATCTCCAAAACTCTCCTGTGGATGTTTACATGATTTGATCACTTCTCAAAGTAACTCTTCTCTCTTCTCTAGGATCACTTCTGTTCTCTTACACATTTTTCTTCCTAATATTGCTGCTAATAACCCTTCGTGAAGATTTAAAGAATTCATTAGGAAAACACGACAAAACAGAAAACTTAAAAGTGAATATCAGATAATCCGTGCTTTGTGACCATTAACACTGCCCTGTCACAGAGGTTCTTTGGTGGAGAACCAACAACTCCCTTTTTAGCCCCAATCTTCTCATGTTTCTGGAACTTGCTTCTACTCAAAGTAGAGGCCTCTCTTTGTTATGACTTCTTTACCAGGACTCCTACAAGTAAAAAAAAAAAAAAAAAAAAAAAAAAAAAAAAAAAAAAACAATAATCTGTCATTATTTAAAATATAGTAACCTTGACACCAACAAAAATAACCATTTTGCTTTATTTCGCAGAGCTGTTCTTCTTAGTTTTGGCTGTTTTTACCTGGCATAACCAAGGGTAATTGAGGAGTTCTCCCAAACAAATGAGTCCCTAAATAGTGACCTGCAATTCTGTAACTAGGAAGAGCTTATAAATCAGTAATTTTTGCTGTGTGTGGTACAGGAGTAGTTCAAGAAAGAAATGATAAGGGCCTGAATTAATTCAAGGGCACATTAGAGAAGATAGCTAATAGATATTAGAATAAAGAAGTAAATAAACTTAATTAATGGATGCGGGCACTAATGGAGTGGTATGGATGACTTCCAGATTTTCTACCAAGCAACTAGGTTAGAGGAGAAGATTTGAGGAATCTCTAGTGTGGTTACAAATATTGGTACACAAGTTTTGGGCACACAGGTGTTTTAGAGTTCAATATGAATTTAAGATTATTCTGAAAAAGTCAATCCCCAGGTATCTGGCATTATAGAGAGACACTTAAAAAAGAAAGTGAAAATCTTTAGAGAATGGATTAAAAAAAGAAAAGACTCATTCATGCATTCATGACTTTCAAATAAATTCAATGAATGCATAGGCAGAAAAACAAGTGCCCAGCAGTAATGACCAAGAGTCAGCTGATAAAAAGAAAAAATGTGGCAGGCAGGTTAAAAAGACATTTGTTAGGCCGGGCACAGTGGCTCACACC